ATAGAGACCTCTGTTACTTGCAACTCAGAATTGATGAATAGCTAACAGGAATGTGTTTCCCGTTGTGGTTTTTTGTGGAATATTGGTAAAACCGGTTTAAAACTACATTCACTCACTCATTCTGTTACTTCTGTAACCAGACAGCTAACAAATAGTCCCTGAAATGAACATATTTTACAGAAAAAAGCACATAATGAAAAATAATAAAATATAATGAAAAGAGCCCTGAGACTTTCTTCGTGTTCTGAAGCTGTGAAAATCTAGATTTGCGTGGGATTTCTTGGATATTTTTGCTTCAGGGTCTGTATGACAGACTAAAAGACAGCCTTTTTACGTTTTAGTCTAGTGGATTGAGTGGGAGGTCTGTGTTCGATCCCTGACCGATACCACAATACCTTAGAAAGATGGTTCGTGTTGTAACCCTGGCTGGCGCTTGGAATGAAGGGGATAGCTTGCCCAGTTGTTCTAATCGCGAGTTGGACTCCCATGTTAATCAAGTCACGTGTGTCTGGGAGAGAGACGATCCGAGTGAGTAAGTAGGAAATTGCCGTGTCTTCGGCAAGACGGACATGTAACAACAAAGCTACTCCATTGCCCTAGGTTCATTCGTAACTACTCGCCTCTTTCCGTGACACACACACGCGCGCGCACGCATCCTTATAACAATTCTTCAATACATGGTTAAATTTAGTCTGTCTCACAATTCCTGAACCACATTGTTTTCCCTTCTGCCAAGCCCTTACTGCAATGCTAAAGCCATAAATGAAGCAAATCTAGATTCCCCGCCGTGATATTGATGGAATATTGCTAAACGCGGCGTAATTTCAAATGGGTCACTCACTCACCTACAATGCAAAATGAACTCACTGGGACTCCTTTTCAAATGGGTTTATGTGCTTAAACTCCAATCCTACATCCGAACTCCGTTAAATCAAACTTGGAATTCTGATATTAAGATGATTTGCTGGAAATGATAAACTAAATTTAAGTGACGACAGTGTAAAAGTGAAACTGCTTCCCCAGGTTGAGGCTGGAGGTTTTGTCGGTGGTATAAGACGCTGCCCTGGACTGAATCAGCGCCCTGTGCAACACTCCGACGTTGTCAGCAGTTCACACGCAGTCGGGAAGCATGCCAATAGTGTGGTGTACCTGGGCATAACATAGTAGATTACCGAGTGGAGATTAGGTGGAGGATGTTCCAATCCCAATATACTGCTCAGCAAAAGAAAGTATACACCTGTTTGATCGAGGCTAAACTGAAACAGTCAAGAAAAGGGATGTATTTCATGAACTGATTGTAGACCTGAAGCTTTTCTGCGTCTGTTTTCAGCCGAATAACGTTTAGATTAGGTTTGTATATCCCACAGGTTAAAACCACTTTGTCAAGTGTGTATCTTCTTTTGCCCGGTAGTGTAGATGTTGAGAGAGGTTTACGCCCTGTCGGTGGTAATCACCTCAGGTAGAGTAATAAAACTGGAGGAGCACGGAGCCACATGGAATTCTGGTAAGTGTGAAATTAATTCTTCATCAATTAAGAGGTTATGTGGTAGAGATTGCGAATACCGTTATTATGGGTTGGCATAAGTGAACGCAGACACCTGTAATCACCAATATTGGCATAAACAAATTCCAACCAACGTCATCACAACATGGTAATATCTTTCGGATACTGCTTCTCAGTGTGCCGGAATCATGGAGAAGGTATTGAGTGGTCGTGTTGAGACTAGTCGTACCCTACTGAAGTGGGCCTTGAGTGGTCGTGTTGAGACTAGTCGTACCTTACTGAAGTGGGCATTGAGTGGTCGTGTTGAGACTAGTCGTACCTTACTGAAGTGGGCATTGAGTGATCGTGTTGAGACTAGTCGTACCTTACTGAAGTAGACATTGAGTGGTCGTGTTGAGACTAGTCGTACCTTACTGAAGTGGGCCTTGAGTGGTCGTGTTGAGACTAGTCGTACCTTACTGAAGTGGGCATTGAGGGACTATTACTGAAGTGGGCATTGAGTGATCGTGTTGAGACTAGTCGTACCTTACTGAAGTGGGCATTGAGTGGTCGTGTTGAGACTAGTCGTACCTACTGAAGTGGGCATTGAGTGGTCGTGTTGAGACTAGTCGTACCTTACTGAAGTGGGCATTGAGTGGTCGTGTTGAGACTAGTCGTACCTTACTGAAGTGGGCATTGAGTGGTCGTGTTGAGACTAGTCGTACCTTACTGAAGTGGGCATTGAGTGGTCGTGTTGAGACTAGTCGTACCTTACTGAAGTGGGCCTTGAGTGGTCGTGTTGAGACTAGTCGTACCTTACTGAAGTGGGTATTGAGTGGTCGTGTTGAGACTAGTCGTACCTTACTGAAGTGGGCATTGAGTGGTCGTGTTGAGACTAGTCGTACCTTACTGAAGTGGGTATTGAGTGGTCGTGTTGAGACTAGTCGTACCTTACTGAAGTGGACATTGAGTGGTCGTGTTGAGACTAGTCGTACCCTACTGAAGTGGGCATTGAGTGGTCGTGTTGAGACTAGTCGTACCTTACTGAAGTGGGCATTGAGTGGTCGTGTTGAGACTAGTCGTACCTTACTGAAGTGGGCATTGAGTGATCGTGTGTTGAGACTAGTCGTACCCTTACTGAAGTAGGCATTAAGTGGTCGTCGTGAGACTAGTCGTACCTTACTGAAGTGGGCATTGAGTGGTCGTGTTGAGACTAGTCGTACCTTACTGAAGTGGGCATTGAGTGGTCGTGTTGAGACTAGTCGTACCCTACTGAAGTGGGCATTGAGTGGTCGTGTTGAGACTAGTCGTACCTTACTGAAGTGGGCATTGAGTGGTCGTGTTGAGACTAGTCGTACCTTACTGAAGTGGGCATTGAGTGGTCGTGTTGAGACTAGTCGTACCTTACTGAAGTAGGCATTGAGTGGTCGTGTTGAGACTAGTCGTACCTTACTGAAGTGGGCATTGAGTGGTCGTGTTGAGACTAGTCGTACCTTACTGAAGTGGGCATTGAGTGGTCGTGTTGAGACTAGTCGTACCTTACTGAAGTGGGCATTGAGTGGTCGTGTTGAGACTAGTCGTACCTTACTGAAGTGGGCATTGAGTGGTCGTGTTGAGACTAGTCGTACCTTACTGAAGTGGACATTGAGTGATCGTGTTGAGACTAGTCGTACCTTACTGAAGTGGACATTGAGTGGTCGTGTTGAGACTAGTCGTACCTTACTGAAGTGGGCATTGAGTGGTCGTGTTGAGACTAGTCGTACCTGAATGAAGTAGGTATTGAGTTTTCGTGTAGAAACTGGTCGTACCTTACTGAAGTTGTCCTTTTGAGACTAGTCATACCTTACTGAAGTAGGCATTAAGTGGTCGTGTTGAGACTAGTCGTACCTTACTGAAGTTGGCATTGAGTGGTCGTGTTGAGACTAGTCTTACCCTACTGAAGTTGGCATTGAGTGGTCGTGTTGAGTACTAGTCGTGTTGAGACTAGTCGTACCCTACTGAAGTTGGCATTGAGTGGTCGTGTTGAGACTAGTCGTACCTTACTGAAGTTGGCATTGAGTGGTCGTGTTGAGACTAGTCGTGTTGAGACTAGTCGTACCTTACTGAAGTAGGCATTAGTGGTCGTGTTGAGACTAGTCGTACCTTACTGAAGTAGGCATTGAGTGGTCGTGTTGAGACTAGTCGTACCTTACTGAAGTAGGCATTGAGTGGTCGTGTGAGACTAGTCGTACCTTACTGAAGTGGTTGTGTCGTGTTGAGACTAGTCGTACCTTACTGAAGTAGGCATTGAGTGGTCGTGTTGAGACTAGTCGTACCTTACTGAAGTAGGCATTGAGTGGTCGTGTTGAGACTAGTCGTACCTTACTGAAGTTGGCATTGAGTGGTCATGTTGAGACTAGTCGTACCCTACTGAAGTAGGCATTAAGTGGTCGTGTTGAGACTAGTCGTACTCTACTGAAGTAGGCACTGAGTGTTCCTTTTGAGACTAGTCGTACCTTACTGAAATAGGCATTGAGTGGTGGTGTTGAGACTAAACGTACCTTACTGAAGTAGGCATTGAGTGGTCATGTTCAGACTAGTCGTACCTTACTGAAGTGGACATTGAGTGGTCATGTTCAGACTAGTCGTACCTGAATGAAGTAGGTATTGAGTTCTCATGTAGAAACTGGTCGTACCTTACTGAAGTTGAGTTTGTGATCGTGTTGAGACTAGTCATACCTTACTGAAGTAGGCATTAAGTGGTCATGTTGAGACTAGTCGTACCTTACTGAAGTTGGCATTGCGTGGTCGTGTTGAGACTAGTCGTGTTGAGACTAATCGTACCTTACTGAAGTAGGCATTAAGTGGTCGTGTTGAGACTAGTCGTACCTTACTGAAGTAGGCATTGAGTGGTCGTGTTGAGACTAGTCGTACCTTACTGAAGTAGGCATTGGGTGGTCGTGTTGAGACTAGTCGTACCTTACTGAAGTAGGCATTGAGTGGTGTGTTGTGTATGGGTGTCGGGTAAAGAGAAAGATATCTACTGCACCTGCTCTGTCAGAGAAAATAACGTTACACTTCAAGACTTGCAATGTTAGTGATTCTCGGCCAGAACAGCAGCTGCTTCAAAGCAAGAATCCGAACAAACTGATGTTTTTGAGATATGAGGCAAAAAATAACGAATCTGATTTACTGAAGCACAAAAGTGAATATTTAAATCTAAAACGTATACACAAAATACCAGAATTTAGACATAACAGTCACTTAAGACCTCGAGGTAACACTTTAAGAAAAGCAGCTCATAGACGCTATTACCCAAACACAAACTAAGGTGTGAGAGAGTGAGTGAGTGAGTTTAGTCTTAGGCCGCTTTTGGCAATATTCCAGCCATATCACGGCGGGAGACACCAGAAATGGGCTTCACTCATTGTATCCATTTGGGGAATCGAACCCGGGCCTTCGGCGTGACGAGCGAACGCTTTAACCACTAGGCTACCCCACCACCCCCCCACACACAAAACTAAAGAAACAAAATATAAATAGTTCAACGTATTTTATTCGCGCCGGATGAAGGTCCTACATATTTTACAACCGTGAAGTGCTCAAGGACAGAATTACATGATTTGTTTACAAACCACATCGTGACATCATATACATCATTTTGTCGTAAGCGATATACTCTATAACCAGCTGACCAACTCCCGGCTGGCGGTAACATTTACAGTTAACGTTGTATTTGGCAGCCAGTTCTTCGTCAACCTGAGTTGCAAAATATAAACCTCTTACGTCAGTTTCCTGTGAAAGACAGCGTAAAAGAACCTCCCCTCAAGATAACAATTGTTTTCATTTTGGTTAAAAAAATATTGTCATGACATTTTTAACATTTTAACCGGTTCGGGCCCGGTTCATGCTGTCGTAACCAGTTTTTTTTTTCCGGATTGAACCGGTAATTGGTGTGACGTACGTTGTCAAGGCAGCCAAGCACGTGCAGACAGACAACCGTTTCCATGACATTGTTATTTTCAAAATAGGTCCCAGGAATATTGTTAATAGTTTAGAAGCATTTGCGGTGCACAATGGAAGGTCCAGATTCATCGTACTCCTGCTTGCTGATCCACATCTGCTGGAAGGTGGACAGAGAGGCAAGGATGGAGCCACCGATCCAGACGGAGTATTTCCTCTCTGGGGGAGCGATGATCTTGATCTTCATTGTGCTGGGAGCGAGGGCTGTGATCTCCTTCTGCATCCTGTCGGCGATACCAGGGAACATGGTGGTACCTCCTGAGAGAACAGTGTTGGCGTACAAGTCTTTACGGATATCAACATCACATTTCATGATAGAGTTGTATGTGGTCTCATGGATACCAGCAGATTCCATACCCAAGAAGGATGGCTGGAAGAGGGATTCGGGACAACGGAACCTCTCGTTGCCAATGGTGATGACCTGACCGTCGGGCAATTCGTAGCTCTTCTCCAGGGAGGAAGACGAAGCAGCTGTGGACATCTCCTGCTCGAAGTCGAGGGCGACGTAGCAGAGTTTCTCTTTGATGTCTCTGACGATTTCTCTCTCAGCAGTGGTGGTGAAGGAGTAACCACGCTCTGTGAGGATCTTCATGAGGTAGTCTGTGAGGTCACGGCCAGCCAGATCCAAACGAAGGATGGCGTGGGGGAGGGCGTAACCTTCGTAGATGGGCACGGTGTGGGTGACACCATCACCAGAGTCGAGCACGATACCGGTGGTACGACCAGAGGCGTACAGAGACAGAACAGCCTGGATGGCTACATACATTGCAGGGGCGTTGAAGGTCTCGAACATGATCTGGGTCATCTTTTCACGGTTGGCCTTGGGGTTGAGGGGAGCCTCTGTCAGGAGGACGGGGTGCTCCTCGGGTGCAACACGGAGCTCGTTGTAGAAGGTGTGATGCCAGATCTTCTCCATGTCGTCCCAGTTGGTGACGATACCGTGCTCGATGGGGTACTTGAGGGTGAGGATACCTCTCTTCGACTGAGCCTCATCGCCGACGTAGCTGTCTTTCTGACCCATGCCGACCATCACGCCCTGGAATAACAATTGTCAGTAATTAGAAATGTGTCGGATCGACAAAATACTGTCTAAAATAATACCTCTGATCTTTATCATCCTATCTATTTCACAGGTTATCGTGCTGAGAACACCTCGTCTACTAGTGTCTACTAGTGTCCCCCGCAGTGATATTGCTGCAACATTGATGAAAGTGGCGTAAAACTAAACTCACTCACTTTTGTCTACTAATCAATATATACTCATGCCAATAATGGTTGTCACCCCCCACCCCAACCCAAACACACACACACACACACATCCTCACACTCCCTCTCCAATTAAAAATATTGAAGGGGGTGACAACAATTATTGGCATGAGTACATATAAGACAATTCGGTGGTTTTGTCTATTAGTGGATGTGGGATTTTACGCCGCTTCTCGCAATATTGGGTTTATTTGTTGTGCCCACCTGGGGTTTGACTCTGCTTTCGCCTTAACTAGTTAACACCTTCACCACTGGCCTAATCAAAGTCTGTTTAAACTTTCATGGCAGTATAGCATCAACATTGAAGTTAGGTCATGGTATTATCAGATCCGTTTACACATTCTCGTGAATCCATCAACATTTTGACATCAGGTTCTAGTCTGAAACGTCAGTGAAGTATCTGTGGTATGCCAATGTAGACATATTTACATAATTCTATCTCTGTGCCGTGTCATTGCTACCACTGCTCATGACATTTGTTTTAAACATGTATAAATGCATAATATATCTTTATCAACATGTCACAGCCATCCCTGTGGAATGTCAATCATGAAATTAACAATGGTACGTAACAGAGTGGCGCGGAGTCACTGCCAGGTTCAGACTATCCCAAATGTCACAGGCCATATTTGCATAAATTAAGCTGCTATTTAGACCAGTAAAGGATTCTGATAATTGTCACCGCATTTCAGATACATACTTAAAAACGAATCAAATGCATCGATAATTAAATGACCAGCTATATACACTTCAGGTTTAAAGCTTATGAAACGCAACTTGAAACATGCACTAAAAACAAAGGTTATAACTTCATAGATTACAGGTCCTTGTGTATTTCAAAAAGCGAGGTTAGGTTGTAGATTCTTAACCTATGTCTGTGCAGTAAGTTTTTATCCATTAAGTTTGAGCAAATTTTGGATTTAGGCGCAATATAAATATGAACTTTATTATTATAAGTTGTCACCTGTCATTGACTCAACAACTTCTAGAATGACGATCAAACAATTAATTCATCATATCATAGATGTTTAAAGTTAAAAATGAAAAAAAAAAATTGATAAAGATCGTGAAATGAACTAAATTATTTCCGGCCCAATCACTTGTATTAGTTCCATCCTGTGTAAGTCACCCATGATGTACGGAACAGTTTCAAGTGCCTGTGCCGGCGTTAGAAGGGGAATTCCTATAGATTAAATTTCACAATCACTTTTTTCCCCCGCTCTTAAATACAGTCTGACCTCCTGAGGAATCACACATGGAAGGCGTGAGGTCATTTTATAAGGGATGGGGTCGCGTTTCCATATTTGTCGAAGATGGCGGACACCGGCAGTAGAAGAATTCCCCACTGGCCGACAGCCCTGCTTCGTGTTGGGTCAAGAGTTAAAGTTTTCCGAATACCTTTTTGTTCTTATAATTGCATCTGTCATATTTTGTTACAGTGATTCGGTTTCTGAATTATATACGTTTGCAAGGAATATGCTGATTTTGAATTTTCAAATCTAGGTCAAAATTTTTAAATATCCATTTTCAGGAATTCCGGTATGTTTCACTACAAACTCAATACATTCGATAATTCTGGGAAGAAGAAGCTGAGTTTGGCGTTTTGGGATGATTTTAAAACTTTCGTAATGTTGGCAATAAACTTTGCAGTTGGTTATTTTCTAAATGGGATGTGATGTTAGCAGCTAGCACATGTCGTACAAACTGAAACCGTTCGTACTGCTCAGTCGGTTGATATTTATCTACTCTTTGCGAAGTCACGTGTTACGGTTTCATGTCCGTTCAGAATACAGTATCGAAAAGTAACATTTTCTAAATGAGATAATGTAATACACGTATTCAGACATACATGAGATACAGATGGCATAAGACCAAAGTAATTACATATAACGTATTAAACTTACAATAAAAATCATTTAAACAATGATTAATATTACAAAATCTGATAAATAAATATTATACTTAATGATCTGAAAATTCAGCCTTGTATTAACTACTAAACACATATTTCGCTAATCCTATAATCTAAAAGTGAAAACTAGTACTTTAATGTTTATAAATTGAAAATTAAATCATTAAAAATTTGTTTAAATTCAATTAAAATATGCATCGATATCAAGTGTTAAAATAAATTTATTAAAATCGAAAATTTATTTAAAAATTTAATTTCAATTGATAAAATTTTAATTCAAGTTTTAAATTCTTACCTGATGCCTGGGTCTGCCAACGATGGAGGGGAAGACGGCACGTGGGGCGTCGTCGCCGGCGAAGCCAGCCTTACACATGCCGGAACCGTTGTCAACGACCAAAGCTGCAACTTCATCGTCACACATTTTGAATTATGTATATGTATGGAATCCTACTGGGAGAAGATTGGTACGGGCTAACAACCTCTTTGCTCCGTGCTGCCTCGAGCGAGTGGTAGATTTAGCTGTGACCCCGGCTTATATCGCTCAGTGCGCCAGCTTTCCTAGAAATCGGGCCGCCATTGACGAAGCGTATCCTTATATGGATAGCGCCGACCTGCATATATGGTCACGCCGATCCGGAGTCAGGCCAAGCATCGCCGGCCCTGCACCCATCCCAACATCAACTTTGAAACGTATGGTTCCACTAAAATAATGCCACCAGCCTCACGTGTGCTTAAGACGCTCTAATACTGGAACTTTAAAGCTTTCAAGAAAAAACCTTGTGTGGAGGGACGATTTTTTAAAATGGCACCCCCGACCACGCCTCGTGGGTTAGCTTCATTGAGTGTTATATAATTATATTCTCACCCAGACTGAAGCCTATGGAGAGTACTCTCTCTTGTCTGATTTGGAGGAACAGATTCATCACGATAGTTTCAGTGTGGTATTTGTCTCGTTAGCACAAGTGTCTCTAAAACATTTTGCCGGTTTCCTTGACAGTTCCGTGTTCCATTGAGAAACGCCGGGTATTTCAATCGCTAAACAGATGTAATTTGTAACAGCAACACATTGACATGTACCTGCCAGTGAAAATATACATCACACATTCACGACAAGCTGTTATCAACAGCCGATTGTTTGCATGTAGATTGATGTAAGTTTCTTTCTTTCAAACGTGTAAATTTCTAAGTCAGTTATCATCCTGTTTCCATCAAACCCTAGCTGTTTTTTGTTTTTTAGTATTTTCTCCTACAGGTCTGATTGCCCGTCTTGATTATTTCATCATTACAGTACTTTTAACGTAAACTATTTTCGTAAATTCTACACCGTTCCTGAAATCAACTGCGATGCAAAAATGAATTTAAATAAATGATGGAATCTGTTTCCTTGCGTTAAGCAGACTTGACCTGGAGGCTTTTAGCGTGAGGTCATAAAACATAAACAGCCGCTTGTACATTGCTAGTCTGTCTCACAGTCCCTGAACCACATTATTTTCCCTACTGCCAAGCCCTCTCTGCAGTGCTAAAGCCCTAAATAAAGCAAGTCTAGATTTCCTCAGGTTCTGAATCTCTGGTCTCCCTAGGGCTCCTTTTCAATTTAAATGGGCTTGTTTGTTACTATCAAAATTACATATATTCAGAGACTAAGCCTTAGTCTAGTACATTGCTAGCCTTGCTCCAAGTCTACACTGAATCCTGAGCCCATGGATGTATAGTAATTCTATCCTTCGAAGAGGCAAGTCCAGATATACGGACAGGCCCCCAGTCTCTTAATCATTATTTTTTAGAAATTATCATTTAAACTATCAATTTTTACCATAGAGACTTGTGCAAGTCTAGTACATTGCGTACACTGCTTGTTGGGCGGGAAGCGGTTTAAGAGAGGGAAGAGTGCTGATGCTATCTAACATACACATAGGTACTGTCAGTGTAAATCCCCCGGTTAGTTACGGATCGTGTCTGACGAGGGTTTTTTGGTTAACCGGTATTCCATTCATACATCTGAACATGTAGATCGTGGCGAACGTAGAAGTAAGTGTATCTTTGCTGAACGCCGAGTTGCAACTTCCGCCCTGTCGCGATGCTAACAATAGAATCTGTGCCAGGTGAACTAGTGGTTGATGTTATGAGGACTAAGCAGGTTGTGTGGTACCGTGACACGTGGTCAGACAGGTCCCACACTGACCACCCGATCCTCCAACTTGTCGCATCTGTCGACAGTGGGATTGTACAGTGGCTCGCTAAACTGAAGTTTACACATTTTAAACAGTAAATTAATACTACTAGATAATTTCTTAGGAATTAAGTGAATTTTATATTTACAGAAGAGTTACACTTCGAAAGAGATACGAATGTATGAAGCCCGTCTCCATATGCAGCATAACGACATCATCGGCAGCGTCGGTGTAGGCATTTCACTTCTTGACAAAGAAGCTTGTTGGATCTCTTTGATTTGATTTGACTGGCGTTCGATTAAGCCTCATCCATTCTACTGCTTGGAGGTGGGGTGGGGTGGGGGGGTGTAGCCTAGTGGTTAAAGCGTTTGCTCGTCACGCTGAAGGCCCTGATTCGATTCCTCACATGGGTACAACGTGTGAAGCCACTTCTTGGTGTCCCCCGCCATGATGTTGCTGGAATCTTGCTAAAAGCGGCGTAAAACCATACACACTAACTCTCTCTACTGCTTATCGCAAACATAGAGTATATTAAGTACTCATGCTCTGTGACTTGGCTGACCACATGTCACCGCAGCTGATGAGACGGTGCTCATGATATCAGCCTCCGGTTCCTCCAGACTGGTTTGTTGGTAGTCACAAGAATACATCTGTCATGTCGACGGTATATTTTCTGTATAAATACGAAATTCGTCCCGGTTCTTTGTGTTTTCTTCAGCCACTTGAACAAGTGTCGGTCTGACACATTACACGTCTCAGGTGGGATTTTGTTACATTTGGTCCCATATTGAGGTTCACACGCCTTGATAAACTGGAATTCTGTTCAAAGACCAACTCACTCACTC